ATCCTCTATTCTGTAACCTCTTTTCTGATTATTGAAAGGAACTCGCCGCTCTGCTCCCGAGGACGTAGGCATCTTTGCCGAACCTCGTTAAATCTCTGTGTTCTTCTGGATTTGTGTCGATTACTGTTTTTCTTGGCCATAATTTTCCCAACAATATTACTTTTCATTTTCATCACTTCTCATTTTCCAAGCCTTCTTTTTTTCACCAACTGAAATGTTTGAAATTTTAAATAATTTTAAGTTAATTTTATTATTTTATTCGGTGGGTTTTAAAAAATGCTCTATTTTTATTAGTATCAAGGCATTCTCCTGACATAAAATAGAAAAAAAAAAAAAGAAAATGAAGGATTCACATGCATATCAATCAATTTAATGTATTTACATACATGTATGCACATCAAAAACATATCAGCACGAGTATAAAAGAAATTCAACGGATGATAAATAAGATGACGTGGATGGCTAGGGCCCCCAGAAGTAACCCAAGAGCCTGTGCTTATTTGCACGGGTGATATCTTGTCCCTATGTCGAGCGGCGGTCAGCGATTCATTCAAAGAGCATTCTCATCGGCCTTTTGTGTGATTTCTACCAGAGAACGTGTCAGACATGACAGATACCTTCTCAAGCTCTCGGGCTTATTAATGCATATTAGCCAAAATACCCTATGTTAACCCTATATTACTAGGGATACAAAGTGTCATTTTGTCAACCCCTTACATATAAATAGCGGACTCATTTCATGAATACAATTTACACAATTTACTTTTCATTTCGGTGATATTTCTGCTCACTGGTTGTGTCTCTTGGACAGTTTCAGATTCAATATTCTAAAAGTTATGGTGAGCATAGAGTCATGTCATTAACAAGAAAAGTAACGCAATAACAACAAAAGAAAAGTCACTAGAGGGACATAGTTAATGTAGAATGTACTAAAGAATTCATGGAGGAGTTCGTGCATCAGGAGATGCAGGAGTTAAGAATCCGGACAGCAAAAAATTCAACTTTTTATTTCTTTGTATTTTGTTTTTTTTTTTGTGCACTACTAATTATATTTAAATGGATTTGAAGAAATTAAGGTTTGCCCTGACATAGTGACATGAGCATTCAGAGCAATAATGCAAGAATAATATTTCTTTATTTAGTTCGAATTGAAAGGATAAAATGCAACGGCTCTGTTAGCTCCAGCTGGTTGCTGGCGTCACACATCTCATATATTTTTTATAAATTTATATTTATAAAAAATACTAATTTTAATTATTAGAAACATAAATTTATAAGAAAATAAATGAGATGTATGATGCAAACAACCAGCTGGAACCAACAGAGCCGTTGCGTCTTATCCTTTCAATTCGAGCTAAATAAAGAAATATTATTCTTGCATTATTGCTCCCAATGCTGGAAAATATTTATAGATCGATGCTTTGAACTAAAAAAAAAAACAATTACTATTGCATTGATGATGGTTTTGACAATAACTGTGAAGATGCGATTCATATAAACTTGAAAACTATCCGTTTCTTTACTATCAAAATGATTACCACTTTTTAATCCTCTTAAGTGAATTTAACAGATCAAATAATAAGTTGTATCCCTTATAATACTATGATTTAAACAAATTTGAATAACAAGCTAAGCTAAATTAAATCTATATATTTTTATTCCTGTTGCATGTGACAAAATTTATGATGATAGAGCGATATATTAATATCGTAGCATTATACGAAAATTTAACACATATATCGATACAATAAGAACAGACAAAGGAGATACCCGTAATTTTTAGGTGAAAATTTTGAAGAAAAAAAAAATCATTTGACTTGTCCCAATTCAAAAGATTTTGTTACACACATATATAAGCTACAAGAGTTTGCCTGCAAATAAAAATAGAAAATAATATTATAAAAGTGGGAGTTATCGACTTGCCTTTAACGAGAAGAATTAATAAAAAAATATTAGGAAAATGGTAGCGACCTAGCTACGTCGATGGAAGGCTGAAGAAGGTGGCTTAGTTTGAATATAAGTTGTTTGAAATTAAAATTCTTGATTATTTTTAATTTAGGTTTGAACGTTTTTTACTCAAAAAATGCCTCGAGCTTTGTGCTACTCATTGAGATTCATGTCACATGATAAAAATTAGACTCGTAATCAATATATATGAAAGAAATGGGAGATATAAATATAAAAGCAAAGTTTAGATGTTAGACATATAAATACATGAGAATTGCCTTGTATGCTTTTTTTAATGAAACATGATGTTCTAATTATTTTTTGAATTGTCATATATTTGATTTTTAATATTTAAATTTTTATATTTAATTTTAGAATATTTAAATGGAATATTTTATTTTGAATAAATTAATGTTAAATCAATGAAATGAAAGATAAAGAAAATAGAAGTCACGAATGATTGAGAACTGCAATAGCCAACAAATATTTGGATGATCATATGCTATCATCACATTTAGAAGATTTCAACTGTCATTCAAACGAGAAAATATTACATCAAAATAATCAAACTTACAGATGATGGCGTGCATCACATTACGCCAGAACTTAAAAAGAACTTAAGGTCTAACTTTATAAACATATACAATATACACAAATATAAAGAGATTACAAACACAGATTTCTAAGGAACATTAAACTTGAGTAATCTTCTACTCATTTTGGGTCTAAACATACAAAAATCAAATATCCTTTTAAGAATTTTGACAGAGTCGGATTCATATAGTCAAGATATTCAACTCAAATATAAACTTGATGAAACAAAATTTGAATGATGCTTACAAATAAAACTATAACAACTAAAGTGACAGCACCAATAAGCAACTTTACAGCTTCAGATAATTGAATTGCTTGATTGGAACAATAATAATGTACATGAAATTACACATTAACATGTAACATTGAACAGTCTATGTGCTCCACACCAATCTGGGCTTGGGGAAATAGAAAGCCTGTAGAAAGTTGCAGTGCAATGGAAAAAGGTTTTTGCTTCATCAGGATCTGTCATCAAAATTTTGACCATCCCAACAGTCAACGCCTGTGATGGGACAGCTTCTATTTTCACAATTTTTCTGAATGCATCTTTATTTGTTCTCGGAACAAAAAGGATATATATGTATATATAATATTCTTCTGTGCTATGGCCCTGATGTTGAGGATCCTCAAGTGCTTGCCTTCAATTTTAATTTATTATCAGACTCCCCTCTTACAAAATATCTAAGTTCTGCAGGAGCAACAACCAGATTCAACCATTCTTGTAACTCTTCCCCTTCCACTTTCTCCTTTTCTGATAAAATCATATATATATATATATTAGACAATTCATAAAATAGATAAAATTGCAATAATGTAACACAATAAATATATGGTTGCACTAGATAATAAGTAAGAAAATAGTTGAAAAAAGGCAGTAGAATTCTGAGTTCGGATAAATAGCACTCAAAAGCATTGCTAGTTAACAGAATTATCAAGTCATCATGCATTCATTCTTCAAATTCTCACCCAGATATTACAATTAACAGTAAAATCCCAACCCAAATTTATTCGCTTTTATTTAAAAGCACAAACAGACTTTTTTTTTTTTCTTTTTTCTAAGGTTAATGCATTAAACGTCGACCACCTGATGATCAGGTTAAGAGAGTATATGTTTTAAATTCAACTCATTTTAAGAAAGACAGAGGTAAACCTAAAAAAACTTGATCATACCATATAAAACATGATCTTAATCTATTAGAATTAAATGAAAATATGACACTCCATGAGACTCAATGGAGAAAAACTATTAATGTAGCCGAACCCATTTAGTGGGATAAAGACTACTGATGTTGTTGTATTGTCAACTTTTCATATAATTTTAGATAAAATTAAAAATTTGTAACTTCAAATTGGTAAAGTTTGTTTAATATTCTCTAATTATTTAAAGATTATATAATTTATAAATCTTTTTATAATATTTAACAAATTACATAATCATATTAATTGTTTAGTAAATTAAGAAATGTACATAATTTCACTAAAAAAAATATAGAGGTATATATTTCATTGTTTTTTTAAATAAAATTATATTCCTTCTATGATTTATATAATCACTGGTAAAGTTATAATCTAATAAATGACATTTATTAAAATAAATGATTTACTATATCAAAAAAAAGTTTGATATTCATTAATAAATTATGGGATGATTTACATAAAAGAAAATTTATCCTAGAAATGTCAAATTGTCATCTAATGGGAATGAAATCAAAAGAAGTCAAGTAAAAAAGGATAAAGTAATTAGGCCTTATGAGATAATTTACATACAAGGAAATTTAGTTATTGATGATGCAAACACGAGAAGAAAAAATCCAACTAGAAAACATAGAAGGATAAAATCTTAGACAAGTAATCTTTATCACATATGCAATTACTGTAATAGAAAGTCAAGTTCTGGCATATTTCGAGTAAAAGAGCATCTTGTCCATCTTTATAGAGTATCTAAAAGGAGTAACATGACTAAACGTCAAAAAATGCCTTTGGATGTGAGAGAGAAGCTGGTTGCTTATCAAGAAGGAATTAAAAATTGAAGCAAGTTTATGTTGGAACATAATGAGAGAATGATATAGATTACTGAAGAATTAGATATTTAAATGTCCTTAAATTGTGAAAAGAGATCATTTGAATCAAATTATGGAACAAGAAGCATAATTATACCTAAACTAAAGTCTTATGAATCATTTGTTTAATCAAGAAACTAAATAAGTGGTTACAAAAAAGGGAAAAAACAAGGAAAAAAAAATGAAAATCAAAGAGCGCCTAAACAAGCGGAAGGAAAGGATCTATAGAATACAAAGCTAAATCATTGTATAAAGCAATCAACTCCGTTTAATGGCGTGAAATAGATGAGCCTTGACCACATAATAGAGGCTTTTGCACAATATAACCGAGCCTTAAGATTCTTTTCTAATAATGAGTGGAGAGTCCCGCCACTTGAATGAGCAATAAAAACACCTATAAAAATATTGAAAGAACACACAAAATTTGGTCGATAACAAAGTTACAAATTTATATTTAATGAGTGAACTGATCATAAAGAGGAACTTATAATGAATATTTTAGTAACTTCACTACTAGGCACAGTATTCTTTAAGTAAATAGAAGTGTTAAAATCTTCAAATGTTGCATTGAAGCTCTTAAAGCTCCTTGATGCGCAAATTGAAAAGATCAAAAAGAGAATGTACTCAAAATTATAGATAAGCATTTCAACTATGTTCTTAAGGGTTAGTAATTTAAAAAAGTAGCATCAAAATGGGTCCCTGACTTTTTGCAGAGAGTCATACCAGTCTTTGAGTTTATAAAAGTGTCAATTTGATCTCTAGACTTTTGATATGAGTTGAAATAAGGACTATTTTATCTCCCATTAAAACAATCTAGAGACTTTAGCACTTTTATAAATTGTGGACCAGGGTGAGATACATCATCTTCCCCCAGATGAAGGAGAGACTCTTCCTATTCGAAGGGTCCTATGGACCGATAATGATACAAGAGATCCATAGAAGCTTCTTCACAGTATTTTCTACACCCATTGCAACGTAAACGGGAAGGTATGTCATCTCATCATCAACGGAGGAAGCGGTAAGAACGTGGCATCAACTCAGATGGTCGAGAAACTGGGACTCACGACTCAGAGACATTCCCAACCATATTCACTAACATGATTGAAGAAGAAAAATAGGGTCAGCATTGAGCGGCAATGCCAAATAGAGTTTTTGATAGAGAGTCAATTGCAGGATCAGGTTTGGTGCGATGTGGTCCCCATGGATGCCCGTCATCATCTGCTAGGAAAACCGTGGTAGTTTGACCGGAAGACTCAACACAATCGATTCAGAAACATTTATTCCTTCACTAAGGACGGAAAGCACATCATTCTACTTCCTTCGATAAAGCCCGATGGCACAGGAGCCCTTACTAACAGAGCAGCGGGACCAGTTTTAATGACAATCGGTTTTTTACCACCATGGCCACCAACATGCAAGAAATTTCAGTCCCAGGAGATTGAACCGAGATGGAGGTACGCTCGCAAGTGCTTTGAGAGACAATACAACCAACAGTGGGACCCAGACGCTGCCAGGATTAAAGATAAGGAACCAAACACTTCGATGAATGAAGTTGAAGCTCCTCAAATCCTAAGGGACTGACGTGGGGCCCAGGGGAGGACTGACTGGTCCTCAAGGGAGGGTGGTTAACGCCACCTCCTTCCTCTTCCCTCCTTTCCTTTTTCTTTCATTTCATTCTTTTCTTACTCTCCTTCCTTGGCCCTTTCTAAATTTAAATCATTTCCTAAAATTTGAATCCTTATTTTATTTCATTCTCCTTATTTAAAATCCTTTCTTAAAATCTGAAATCTTATTTTATTCCCCTTTCTTATTTTAAATGCTTCCTAAAATGGGTCAAGCCTTTTTATAAATAAAAGGTGATATGCTTAGAGTTAGAGGTCTTATTTTTATATATGAATTTAGGTTTTACCCTACAGCTTTTCCCTCAAGGGTTGTATCCAACTACGAGAGGGGTGCTTCGGCTGTAAATCCATCCAAGACGGTAAATATCTCTGTTGTTCCGACTCCCTCCAACTCCCTGATTGACCGCCACCGCCCCCGCATCCTCTTAGCCCGCACAGGGCACTTTTTGCCAGCAGGAGTCCACCGCATCTCCTCCATCCTCTCCTGCAGACCACTGGTTCCCACAACCATCTTCAGCACTCATGGCACCCCGGTGTTCTCTAGTTTGGCCGCCCCTTCTCCTGCATGCGGCCTCCTTTCCTGCAGCTCCCGTGCAGGCCACACCTCAAACTGCTTCGTTCGCCTCCACACTGCAACTTCCCTGCAGGTCGCAGCCACCACGTCTCCTTCCTACGACTTCCCTGTAGACCACACCGTCTGTTGTCCACTTCTTCCGACTTCGGTTTGATGTGTTGACGATCGCTGACTTGACGTCCCACTTCCTCCACAGCTGTCTGACAGCTCTTCGGCCTTCACCGCAACCACCAATCTAATCCACCTCTCTGGTATTTTGCCTCATCAAGCTTGTTGTGTTTTCTTTTGTTGAGTCTTTAATTATAATCCTTTGTTTTAAGCTTTTGTTTTGTGTGTTATTATTCTTTCTTCTGAATTTTCATTGTAACCTAGTTTAAGTCATTAATAAAATTATATCTTGCGTCGTGGTTTGGGTTAACTCTGGTATCATACTGCTACAGGGGTTTTCTTCATATACTCTCCTAGCAGTATACCAGAGAGCATCCAAACTGTTGATCGCACATCATAACATGCAGTTGGTAAAGGCACAATGAGAGATACCAATTATATAAGATTGTCTGATATTTTACACGCCTCTTCTTTTCCTGTGAATCTTTTATCCATTAGTGTCATTATTCTCCAACTAAAATGTGTTGTTTCCCTTAATATCCCGAAAGTGGTCTTCCAAGAGAAATGGAAGGGTAGACACTTGGGAGTAGAATGTGGCATGGTAGACTCTGGTACTTAAACCGGGAGGGGATGGACTCAGCATTGTCATCCATGATAGAGAATGATGAAGGAGAATTTGGGAGGAGTGTAGAATATATTTTGTTGCTGCATCACAGACACATGAGACACTTTTGTTTTAGTTTATTAAATCGGTTGTATTCTTCTTTGTATGAAAAAAAACAAATAAACAGAAGCATGTTTGTGATGCGTGTGAGTTTGACAAACATATTAGGAGCTCTTATATCAATTATAGGAATAGAAGTTTTGGTATTTTTGACTTGATTCATTCTAAATTTGGGGACCTTGCTCTACAAGTTTTATGAATGGTTATCGATATTTCGTGACTTTTATTGATTTTTTTTCTTATGTTACTTGATTATATTCGATGAAAAATAAGGATGATGTATTCGTTTGTTTTAAAGACTTCCACAAAGCAATCCAGACTCAATATAGTACAATAGTGAATGTATTGAGGTCTGATAATGAAACAAAGTATACTAACAAAGCATATTTTGTGACTTTTATTGATTTTTTTTCTTATGTTACTTGGTTATATTCGATGAAAAATAAAGATGATGTATTTGTTTGTTTTAAAGACTTCCACAAGTCAATCCAGACTCAATATGGTACAATAGTGAATGTATTGAGGTCTGATAATGAGACAAAGTATACTAACAAAACATTTGGGGAATACTGGTCAGTTCAGAATATGCAACATCAAATCACATGTCTATACACACTGACACAAAATAAAGTAACACGAAGGAAGAATAGACAACTCCCAGAG